AGCTAGTATTAGATAACTGCCATGAAGCAGTACATATTCCTGCAGAGCCCATTAGGGAAAAGGAATGTAAAAGTTTCAAAAAGTTTACAAGATTCACAAACTAAGCTGCTCTGAAAAAAGTAACAATTTTCTGAATTTCAAAGAAAAAAAAAGCTAGGACACAACATATCCCCTTAGTAGTGTTCTTGTTAATAATTAAGATGCACATATTTTTCTGTAATGAACAAGTCAGATTTCTTTAAGAAGCCTCATAAAAAGTTCTCCTTCATAAAGTGATCTCTATTTGGTATTGTGAATGCCCCTCAGATTTCAAGTAATTACAGCAATAATGAAAACTGAAACAATATGTAGTATTTTTCACATAACATTTACAGTATTCCAATATCAATTTAATAAAATACAAATTACCATAATCACAGAAAATCATAGTAATCACTTTTTTAATACTTCATATGTAAAAACTGTTGTCATGTTATGTTTTAAAACAGCAAGAATAAATATTAAAAGACAGCAGCTTTCCACCATTCCTATTAATTCTGCTAATGACTATTTTACAAGTGCTTGATTGCAAAATAAAGGCAGATTATATATCATAATTTTTCCAGCAGTGCTAAGTTACAGTAGTATAAAGTTTTTCTTACTGTTACATATTACTTTACCTAAATAATAAGCTACATTGTTGTTGCCCAAAGTGTCACTATTAGCACAGTTTACAAGTTAATATCCTTTACCTTCCTTCATAAAGACTCCCTCACTTTACTGAGATGCACCTCTTTTTAGCAGAGTAGAGGACTTATTTCCCAATATACATATAAAAATGTGTATATTTTTAAACACATGGAAAAAGGGAACTACAAATCTAATGTAGGAGTATTAAGTTTGACTAGAGCTTTTTGCTATCTGTACTTTTTAGGAACTCCAACACTGAAAAAGTACTAAAGCAGGTATTGTTTTCACTCCAGCTTTTTGAAGGTCATTGTGACTTGGCATGCATTCTTTTCACTCATTTAAATCTTTGACATGAAGACATTCAAACATTTGTACTTAACTTGGCTAGGATTTTTGGTGTTTGGGGGTTTTTTTTGGTGTTTACAGACAAAGAGGAAACTGTGGAAATGATAGCGAAATGTACACACTCACTGCTCAGTAATTCAGAGGTGAAATAACAAAGAAATCCATAACTGACATCGTTTAGCTGCAAATAAATATGACTATATGTACTGACAAAAAAAGACATTAACACTCAGTTCCCAAAAGCACAGTTTGCAAGGGAGTTGTATTAAACAAGTCACCTAATCTGGAGCATGAAATAGGATGCAGGAACACTATTAGCCTACAGTATAGTCACTGCTCCATGTATCAAAGCGAGTTTTAACTTGGTCTAGCTGCAGCGCTGCTGGGACTCAAGCTACAGCTGCATAGAACCCATCAAGAGTTGCCACAGTCTGGCTGGGAAGCGCTCCAGACTCACAGACTGTTATGGGTTGGAAGGGACCTGTAAAGGCCATCTAGTCCAACACCTCCCTGCAATCAGCCAGGACATCTTCAACTAGATCTGAGTGCTCAGAGCTCTGTCCAGTCTGGCCTTGAATCATTTCCAGGGAAGGGGCACCAACCACCTCTCAGGAGAGGGGTAAATCCTTAGGCTCAGAGACCTCAGGCAAGTTCTGCATTATTTGTATTAACAGAAAGCAAACGAGTTTAAAACTAGCTCAAGCAGATAGCAAATGCTGTGCAGGCACATCCCTTATTTATACAATGTTCTTTTACAGTTGTACTCCCTACTTCTTTATTGAAAGTTCTTCCAGATTTAGTTATATGAACCTATAATTAGTTTTCACAACACATTTAGATTAATTGGCCAACAAATTGCACATAATTAGAGCAACAGTAACCGGTGGTCTGCAATGCACACTAAGATGAAACGCGACTTCACTTATCAACTTACAGCATCCAGGGAGGACATGACACACCACAGATTGCCAAGTGCAATCCAGGAAACTCTTTAGAGATCTTCAGAGCTCAAAAAGCAGCCGCTGGTTACTCCCTTACTCCACTGCAACATCAAAAAAGGTCAGCGGATTCCCACCTCAACGAGCTCAGGATGTCCATGTTAGACTCTTAAATCCCACTGCCATTAATTTATGCACTCAACTCCTCAAATTATTGTGTTTCAGTGAAAACTGCACAGAGGGCTTACACCGGGGACCACTTATCTTTTGTATATAAAATCCTGACCATGTTTCCCCTGAAAATTCTGTTTGCGGCCATTTCACTGAGAGGGGAAAAACCAGGCCCCAAGAAGGCTCAATCCAAGTCTCTGAAGTCACCAAGGACAAGGTAAGGATATTTCACAGACATTCAGAGAAAAACACACTCCTTCTATAGTTTTGCCATTAGCACTGAATTAGATCCCTTTGCAGTGACATTTCAAGGGTTAAGCAGAGAACTTGAATCTTTTTCCATTCAAAGACTTTTATAAATAAACTTTGGGCAATTAAATGAGATACAAATTTTTAAAATAGAAATATCAAATCTAAGAGCATTCATGTGGATGGATGTCCAAAACCATATATAAACCATTTCACATAAGGCTGAATTCAGGATAGCACTTTTAAGTAGAACTAAAATAAATTAAATAGATGCTAACAGAGAGATGCTAGAGAAAAAATTCTGAATAAAGAGAGACTCATTTTCTCAACTTCCAGTCCCTGATACAGCCATAAGACCTGGAACAAGCTTTTACAAACACAAAATACCCAAACTAAAAAATTGCCCTCATATAGGCAATCTGGAAATTGCATGAGCTGAATACATGTGGGCAGGGCTGACATTCAGTGTATTCACCTAAGAACAAAACTGACAATTATTGTCTGTCTGCCAATTTATTAATATAATTATTTCTATACAAATAGAGATTTTTTTCTTCTTCATAGTAACAATACAGTGTTTTAAAACAGGCAGATCAATATATTACAAATATCACTACTGTTAGAACACGTACTAAATCACAGGAGGTAGAGTTAGATCCCCATTAACAATAAACTTGAGAAAGCACAGACTCTTTTTAAAAATTAGTAGAATATGTCATTCATGAAAACTTACTTTTCTGAACAACTCATTTGTAGCTGCTTTAAGAGATGTCTTTTTTTCAAGCATGATAGAGAATATATGATAGAGGCATGTTCTCTTTCAGTTTTCAACATAACTTTGCAATAAGCACATAAGAAAACTCCCAAGTGGTAAAGACTTCAGACAAACTGCAAAAAAGCAATATTTTAAGCTATTCAAATCACCAAAGTTATCATGAATTTGACCACATCTTTTACCTTATGATTACATTTGAAAATTCATTCAAGTAACTACGGTTTAAAATATATCTACACCAATAAAATTAATGTGAAGCTTTTCTACACTGTCAATAATTGGCATTTTTGAATGGCATACAAATGAATAAGTATTATTCTTTTTGCAACAACTTACTGCAAAATACAGGCACCTTAAAAACTGATACATAATGCAACCAGGGTATTCAGAATATTAAAAGTGTTTGCCATTATCTAGTCATGCTTTGTATTTCCCTTCTTTTAAAGAAATACTCTACAGTTTGCAGCCGTGCCTGAGATGCGTGCAAATTATCATGATTCAGTATTTAACTCAATTTTCATAGCGTATTTCCTTAACAGTTACAAAAACAATAGTGTGCCAAAATTTTGAACCATTACAACTGTAAAGATCTTAAGCAGACATGGTATCTTTGATAATATATTCTCGCTATTGCACACATGCTCCTAAGACAGTGAAACTCTGGTCCATATTCAATTTCAACTATTTACACATGCTAAAATCATTTATCTGCACATAATGTTGGAAAAGAAAAAATACAGCCTTTCTTCACCAACACACATCGCTCCAAAATTTATGCCACCAAATTTCATAGAATCATAGAATACCAGACTGAAAGGGACCTCAAGGATTATCTGTCGACACCAGGCTGTGCAGTGCAGTCGACACCCTGGAGGGTGGGGATGCCATCCAGAGGGACCTGGCCAGCCTTGAGAGGTGGGTCTGTACAAACCTCATGAAGCTCAACAAAGTGAAGTGCAATGTCCTACACCAAGGTCATGGCAATCCCAGACAAGCCTACAGGCTGGGCAGAGAAGTGATTGAGAGCAGCCCTGCTGAGAAGGACTTGGGCTGCTGGTGGATGGGAGGCTGGACATGACCTGGCCATGTGCACTCACAGCCCAGAAGGCCAATCCTGTCCTGGGCTGCATCCAAAGCAGGGTGGGCAGCAGGTGAGGGAGGGGATTCTGCCCCTCTGCTCTACTCTGGTGATACCCCACCTGAAGCACTGCATCCAGCTCTGGGGCTCTCAGCACAGGAGGACTCTGACCTGATGGAGGGAGTCCAGAGGAGGCCGTGAAAGAAAAGGGGTCTGGAACAGCTCCCCTGGCTGAGAGAGCTGGGATTGTTCAGCCTGGAAAAGAGAAGGTTGCAAGCAGACCTCATAACAACCTTCCAGTATCTGAAGGGGCCTACAACGAAGCTGGAGAGGGACTCTTCATCAGAAACTGTAGTGACAGGATAAGACGGAAGTGCTTCAAAGTTAAAGAGAGTAGGTTCAGATTAGATATTAGGAAGAAACTCCATGAGGATGGTGAGGCACTGGGAGAGGTTGCACAGAGAAGCTGTGGATACCCCATCCCTGGAAGTGTTCAAGGCCAGGTTGGATGGGGCTCTGAGCAACCTGGTCTAGTGGAAGGTGTCCCCGCCCAGAGCAGGGGGTGTTGGGACTAGGTGATCTTTAAGGTCCATTCCAACCCAAACCATTCTGTGACTCTATGATTCTATGGTCCAACCTTTCTCAGCAAAAGCACAGTCTACTAGACAAGACAATCCAGCACCTTGCCCAGCCAAATCTTAAAAAGTGTCCAATCTTAGGGAATCCACTACTTCTCTGGGGAGATTATTCCAATGGATGATTGTTTTCACTGTGCAAAAATTTTCAGTTGTGTCCAAATGGAATCTCCCCAGGAGTATCTTGTACCCATGACCCCTCATCTTTTCTATTTGACTCCTTGTAAACAAAAGGCAGTCTTTATCTTCTTTGCAGCCACTCTTTAAATAGTGGAACGGGTATTTTTATGTTTCTATGAGGAACAGCCTGCCACTCAGTCTTTCTCCTTATGTGGGTCTGATTCAACACCACTGAAGGCAAAAGAAGCCTTAATTTTATTCAGCAGATTTTGAACTATAGTTCAAATAGAAAAAATTGTATGGTAATTGATATAATGCACTTTGGACGCATTACGATGCTCTCACAGCAACAGTTAAAGTCCAAGAAAAAAAAAATCCTTCCAGAAAATCTTTTCCTAGAACTTAGACTGCTGCAGTTCAAACTGTATATACACTTCAAGATATATTTATGAGTTTGCCATTTACTAAATTAATAGTTTTCTCCTTTTCATCATGACACAAAAGCCCACACTGATGCACAACAGTATCTACAATAGAAGAAGCATGTTCTTATCATAAGTGGTGAACTCATCATAGATGTGCATTTCCAAAATAATTGTTCCTTCATTTTTTTTTTTAAACAGAAACAGTCTTTGATGGTTCAGTGATATATCACAAATACAGTATTTTCCAAGCAATGAGTAGGAGCTAGATTTCCACTGAATTTTCTTTAGCATTGAGGAGCTTAGACATCATCAAATATTTTGCTTCGAGACATTGATAGGTATCTTCCACCAGGCTGGTACCTGCAGAATTAATTTGAAATATGAAAAAATATCATAGGGAAATAGAAAAATAAAGATCCATGAAATCAAATAACTCTCACTACAATCTTATTGTTAACGCTCAGTGAATTACAGGACCCGAAGTTCTTCTGAATTACTGTTTCCATGAGAATTTGATAGACAGTCATTAAATTAAACACCATGTAACCAAGAAAAACAGCGATTCGAATACTTAAAAAGAGATTCTTAAAGAACTTTGTTTCCTGATACAAAGGAAAAAAGTTAGATGTCTTGGATGAACAGGACTTTCTTCTTAAAAAAACCCAACTAAGCCAACAACTAAACAAACAACAAAACCCCAAATTGTAAAAAATCCCAACCAAACAACAGCATCCAAAAAGTAGTTTGTGTGCTTATAGAAGTTACTAAAACCATCAGAAGTCTACTAAAACCATTTATGACTTTTTTTGATTTGGTATGCTAGTTTTAGCTGAAAAATAATAAATTATAAGTTTTTATATGGGAATTTTAAATTATTTATATTAAATGGTTCTACACCATAATGACCTAGATAAAAAGAAGCACCCCTACAGTATTATATTTGTTTCTTTAGTATGAGCAGAGCTAAGCAGTTGTGTAAGATACTGTATCAGCAAGAAAATTTGCTGCTGAGGTCATACCCACAGAATCTAAAAATTCTCTATTATAGAGAGCTACATAGTCTTGTACTTTCTGTTCAAGGAGTTAAGAGTTTAATTTACTCCTGTAGTTTCAAGATCTGATCCCCAGCTGTATTCTTGCAACAGGTCCTTTAATATCCAGTTTTCCTTTCTTGCAGCCTTTTATAATGGATTTTATACAGGGAAATCAAGTGCTTTCTGAAGCCTTGCAAGAAAATACAGAAAACCTTCTGTTTGACCTATGTCTGTTGAGGAATCCCTGAGCTAGTGCAGGAAGCTCTGTGTGCAGCTGCAGGTTGTGTCCTGGATGGCAGGAAACGGCGGGAGCCCCTGGCAAGGGGCCACGACTCAACCCTTTGCAGGGGGACCTGCGGCACCAGCCAGGTGATTGGACACTTGGAGACTCCGCAGGAGCCGAGGACTGAGCTGGAAGACTGCAGAGTATCAGGGACACAGCCTGTGGGGTATAAAAGCTCAGGGATTCCTTAGTTTGGGGCCCCTCCCCAGAGGTACAAACTCCAGCTGTTATTCTGTCGCTGAAACATCATTAATTTACTTAAAGGAACCAGACGTCTGGGACTCTGGTATTGCAGCTGAGCTGGAAAGGGAAACTTAAAACTTGTCTGTCTGTGTGGGAGCGAGGTGTGTAGGAAGCGAAACTGGGCACCCATAAAGTCACTGGAGCCAGAGGCTGTGAAGGGGCTTCAGTCCCAGCAGTGAGAGTGTGATTGCCAGAGTGCCTCCTGAACAGTCATGGGAAGTTTCCTTAACAAATTAGTCCTTCACCAGTTTTATATACAGTATTTTTCTTATTATGCCACTATACAAAGTTATATACAAATCTTACTCTGACATTACTAAAAAAAACCTGAAAAACCTTTAGGTTTTAATTGGTTCTAAAACAATTCCTGTATCATGGGGCAGAAGGAGGAAAGGAAAAGAGTTAGGTGAGATTATAAATTTAGTTTACAAAACTATTATTATGAAAACATTTGACACAGTTGTCATAGGTCAGAAGACACAAGACATTAGCATCTTTTAACTGTAAATAACACAGAAGATTCCTCACCTTCCTGAGTCTGATTCAAGAGGGTCATCGTTAACAGAGTCTGCATTAAAATCCAAAGGTTCTGCATCCTGAAGGAGTTCTATTCTATCTCTTTCAGTCCTACCATTTGATCGGGTATACTTTGATAGTGCTGAATAAGTAAAAGGAAAGAAAGACACTCATTTGCTCTGTGAACAGCTTGGAAACATCAAATGTAAGCATTATAAATCCCTCATAAATATTAATGAATATTTAATCCAAAGTGAAAGTGCCACAATTTAGAGCAGATTCAATATTAAACCAAACTTGCTCAAATTTACAGTATTTCATTTTTGTGCCTCCATAGAATACATGCAACTATGACTTTTCTTTTGCCTCTCAAACAGGATGAGATCTACCTTGTGAAGACACAATGAAAACGAGAAACCAGATGCAAACTTTATTTTTAAATCAAACAATCATCCATTCATCTTCACAGTTTCAGGCTTTAACTAAGCTAGCTGGAGCTTTATTATTAACTTTTGTTTGTTTTTTAAAGAGACAATCTCGTGAATTAATGAAATACATTTGTTTTGCAGTTTGCTCTGCCACTTTCACCAGGTAAGCTATGGCTGGTTTTGGTGTTGGAATGCTACAATGCTACATATGAATATGTATTCATATGGTGAACATTAAAATATAATTTTGGTTAGTCTACTACTAAAAATCTGGCTTTACAACTTGGTAAAGAGGAGGGGGAAATCTACCAGTGTTATCTCAGAAGCATATTCAAAGCTTCCCTCTTCCTCTCCTTTTTCTTCAGTTTCATTTTACTTGTTGGTAGCTTACAGGAGTACAAAAAATTATCAAAAATGTACGAAAACCCCACTAAAACTCTGACAAATAAACTTTTGTGATGCTTTAAACTTCCAAAAAAAGGAAATGTTTTGCTATCAGACATTATTAAATAAAAATGTACCCACTTGTGTGGTATGTTATTGGTTTCACATTAGCTGGTCAACTGATTGCTCCATTATTCCAGTGTGAGATAGCTCACTTCCAAGCAGAAGAGTTAAATTTTGTGATTTACAACACCCAACTTCAAGACATATCAATTATTTTCTTTCCTGACAATTGCTATCTCTAACTGCAATCATCATATATCCCATAAGACCAAATAATTGGTCTCAGAGCAGAGCCAGAATCTCCAAACTCAACTAGCTGAAGTGTTGGAGATGGAAAGAAACACAGTACCCTTTTCAGTGTCTTAATGACAAGATGGCACTGTGCCACAGAAGTGGAAGTATCAGCACATCACCTAAGACAGAAAGGAAACAGCCAGTGTTGTGCAGGCAAGATAGTAAAAGAAAACAAAACAAAACCAACTTCCCCCCAAGCCCACAAAGCTTACGTCTGTTGGCATTGGTCTCTGTGAAGCTGGATTCTTTTTGGTCTGTGTGGACAGCTCTGCTTCTAGTGGAATCATCCCTATTCCCATATCGCTCCTTCCACTCCTAGAAAAAGACAACAAAAGAAAACATAAGCTGTGAGGATAAAGCAACACAGCAAAGCATATGTGGGATCAAGGAATACCCAAGATTCATAATTTAGAGCTATCGTAACAGATTACCCAAGCAATACTTTCAAAGTGTTCCTATTCAGTATTGTGATACAGGAATAATTTTTGTTTCATTTTAAACTCTAGATGTGTCTCTTCATAAGCCAGTAACCATAACTGTTCTTTAGAAAAAGACTTGCAGAAAACAAACTGCATCTCAAATCGGCACTCAACTACTCTAAGTTACGGTGGGCACTGCTGCTTTTATTGATTACTACTTCCATCTAGTGGTAAAATGGAAAAATAACAGCACACAAAACCCCCAAACATTTGGACAGGCCATGTTCAACTAAGCTTGTTGTTCTGTTGTTTCCATTCTGACAGCCTTTAGTATATAAACATTTTAGTATGAAGTATAAAGAAATACTAAAGAAGAAAACGACTCATACTTTTATTAGGAAACAACTTCATGTCTCAATAGAAATTATTCTAATTGCTCTTTTGATTGTCCCAAATTTAAATCCCAGATTACAGACCGGTAGGAACTGGTATACTCAAAAGTTACGTTGCTGATTTATGTCATGTGTTACAATTCTAAACTGCAGAAGGATCCAGTAAAAGATGACACTCTCAAAAGCTCCAAAAAATGAATACGCTACCTTCTTTATATGCTACAGTACTTAATGCAAAACTCAAAATAACAGGTAACATCTAAAACTTGAGCTTGCCGTTTAACTAAAATTTTTGCTTGATGTCAGATCATTTTAGTGTATACTAAATGTATCATGCACTACTATTATTTTGTTTCTCAACAGATTCAGGTTCTAAAATTATGAGAAGGGGGCAGAGGATCAGAAGAAAGGTCTCTGCAGTACTGACTGTCATCAAGGATTAAAGTATACCTGAGCTTGAAAAGCCAAGAGATTTTAGTTGCAGTATTATCTTGTGTGCATCCTTTCTATTTATCTCTCAGACTTTCCTTGCTAGATTCCAAATGTTATAAATTAATGAAAAACTAAAGCTTCACAAATCTTTCAATTCAGTCTGCGCACTAAACAGCATTTGAAACAAACATTCTGGTTTTTTGTTCAGCAGTAACAGTATTATTTCTGTCTTTATTTGTATGTATTTTATTTTATTTTATTTATATGTAATTACCTCCTCTGGCAAACAAACAAACAAACAAAACCCCTGTGCCAGTTACTTTCCAGTGAGCACGCAAAACAACAAGGTAAGTTTGGGAGGAGTACACAGTTCCCATTTCAGTGAATATGATGACACTGCAACTGCAGTTATTTCAAGCAGAGCAGTATCAATATAAGACACTGATAATAAACCACTTCAGATTATTTGGCATCCTAGAATTTGGGAACCTTTTCAATGCTTGTTACACCTATTGGCATACACCACAGCATGCTGAGTATCAAGAGTACCCAAGCAGTGTCACTCTTCTATAATTAACCCCCAACCAAGACTATTAAGCAAGATTCAACTGATCCCATCAATTATTTGGGACTACCTTTTTTGTGGAAGAGATTATGCTGAATTAAATAGTCCTGGCAAATCCTATCAAATATTACAGTATAATATTATGATTATTAGCTAAAACAATCTCATACCCTTCTTCTGTTTTCACCTTCTTCCTGCCTCTGTCGTTTTCTTTTCTCTATAAATAAAAAAAACATTATTTGTCCAAGCCCTATACAAGAAAAATCCTTAGCAACATTTTTTTTTAATCAAACAGTGAAAATCGAAAGTTAACTAGCAGGTTCTTACTGAAATAGGCAACTCATACAACTAAACAAAAACAAAACAAAAAGCTGCTTGTCTATCATTATAGAGTTTCCAATCAAAAGGAATTTGTGATGATGCTATCTTGGGTCACAGCATAATATCTGGCTACCAGTTGGCAAAGCAAAAAAAAAACCACCTCTCAGAAGTAGCTAGGAAAAGTATGACATTACAAAAAAACTTGAGCAGTATTGAATTAAGATCTTGCTGAAGCTCTGTGAGGCCCAAAGTATGACTCAAATACTTTGTGTCCACATCTGCTATGCAGTTGGAAGTAGAGCATCACAGTATCAAAGCAATCATAACCTCTTGTTCAGAGGAATGAGAAACATTGACCTTTCTCCAAAAAAATAGGAAAGTACTAGTCTAAGTAAATTCAGGTATTGTTTTTCATAAACTATCAGAATAAAAGGATTCCATAATACAACACTGTATCCTGAAATTTTAATTTCTAAGTATTACTCAAGAACCACAATGGCTTTTAACAATTTTCAAGAAACCCTTTGAAAAAAAATTAACCTAAAATAAAAAGCTTTCCAAACCAGCTGATAATTATAGCTCTATAATAACATGCTTTCTCTGATAAAACACAGTTAGCTGACACAGCAAAAAACAGCCATGGAAATGACTGAACTCATGCAGCTTAATCAACACACAAAGAAAGATTAAAATGAGTTTGTTGATGATAAACACAATTCAGATGTCAACCATCCTTTACGAAAAAAGCACCTGCTTAGGTATTATTAGATCAGTAACACACTGTAAAATATTTAGAAATATCTAAAATTCAGATACTCAATGAATAAAACTGGTACTTCACTTTAGATATTAATGAAGTCCATAGCAACCACAGTCCTGTAGGTCTATTGCATTTTGTATTATGGACTGCCTCAGTATAATCTTCAAAAAAGTGATAAGCTTTTTTTTTTTTTCCCTACATCGTTTCAGACAAATTACAACATATTACATGATGAGGAAAAGGTCAAGGTAAACTTAATGCCTTTTTTGCCTCAGTCTTTAAGAGTAATATTAGTTGGTGTCTGGGTAACAAGTGCCCTGAAGTGAAAGATGGGGATGGGGAGCAGAATAAAGCCCCCAGAATCCAAGGGAAATGGTCAGTGACCACTGCTACTACTAGGCAGCAACACTGCTTAGACACACATAGGTCTATGGAGACAGATGAGATCCACCCAAGGGCACTGAGGGAGTTAGTGGAAGTACTCACCAAGCCACTTTCCTTTCCATTTTCACTTTGGTCATTACAACCCCCTGCAGCACTACAGGACTGGGACAGAGTGGCTGGAAAGAGGCCCAGTAGAAAAGGACCTGAGGGTGTTGGTCAACAGCAGCTGAACATGAGCCAGCAGTGTGCCCAGGTGGCCAAGAAGGCCAATGGCATCCTGGTCTGGATCAGGAACAGTGTGACAGCAAGAGCAGGGAAGTGATCCTTGCCCTGTACTCAGTGCTGGTGAGGCCACACCTGGAGTGCTGTGTCCAGGTCTGGGCCCCTCAGTTCGGGAAGGATATTGAGGTGCTGGAGCAGGTCCAGAGAAGGGCAATGGAGGTGGGGAAAGGTCTGGAGCAAATGTCTGATGAGGAGCCACTCAGGGAGCTGGAGGTGTTGAGCCTGGAGAAAAGGAGGCTCAGGGGTTAAGACCTTATCACTCTCTACAACTACCTTAAAGGAGGATGTAATGACTTGGGGGCTGGTCGCTCCTTCTAAGTAACAAACAACAAGACAAGAGGAAATGGTCTCAAGCTGTATCTTAGTTTGGATACTAGGAAAAAATTCTTTACTAAATAGGTTGTCAAGCATTGAAACAGACTGCTGAGGGAAGTGACGAAGTCATCACCCCCAGAGATATTTAGATGATGTAGGGCATGGTTTAGTGGTGAACTTGGAAGTGTTGGGTTCGCAGCTGGACTCAATGATCTTTGAGGTCTTTTCCAGCCTTGATGATTCAATGGTTCCATGATTTTGTAGGAAGACAATAGAGGACCCAATTTACCTCTTCTGATTAGCTCTTTTCCTTCATCAATCAAATCAGAAGTCATTTCGCTATCCCCCATGAACTGCTGGAATCCCAAAAGATTCAAACAACGAGTTCCTAAACTGTAAAAGAAGAAGGAGAAGTAATTTCCTTTGTTAATTTACAAGGAACAGTTTAATATATTACAATGCAAGATGTAAAACTAATTATTCAGAAAATTATCGACAATACAAGTAAAAAAGCAACACAGAAGAAAAGATGGATGCTTATACTAGTTAAAAAACCAGAAAATTCAGAACAGTAACACATTCCTAAATCCAACTGAAAGTGATGGAATAATCCCATCCAAATAGAGAAATAAAAATGTATATAATCTGAGAGTAGTGTAAATGATTTAACATAAGTCAGTTGCTTTAAGTATTCTCAGATATAACAGCATTTATGATATGCCACTGACTCTTCTTTGCCAGAAGACAATTACCGTAAAATTGACTACGATTTCTGTATTTTTGAAATCGGAATAATGGAGGAAAGTCTTCCTCACCTCAGGTTTCACTTAGTTTTTTTCTTATACTATCTGAACTCTCGGACTTCTGGATTAAACAAAGCTTAAATCAAGTTTTCCTTGATAGATATTAATTGAAACTTCGTTTAATTAAAGCTTTTGCATGTATCTGAATTAGCAGAGGTCACTAAAGCAACTTCCTCTCCTTTAATTTCTATTCTTCCTTTTCACCATGACATTCAAGATCCAGCATCATCATGGACAAGAAATCACACAAACCCTTTTCTCTTTTCTTGTCATTGGCTTTCCTGTTTCATTTTGTTTTGTTTTGATGTTCGTTTTTCTTCCACCACCACTTTTGTTGCTTAACCAAAAAGTAAGCGTGAAAAGCCCAGATCCTTGATATCTTACTATCTATAGATGCACATACAGTATTAATAGAAATTAGAGGCCTTTAACTACATGGAATACGACTAAAAACATATACATTGCTACTCACTGAAAGGTAACACAAAATTAACATCAGTGTATCTGAGCAAGGTCAGACCAAAAGCATCCTGTCCCTTCAGTGGTCAAACCAGATATTTTGATATACAAGGATAAATCACGCATGTAACAGTGTTTTCTACAATTACCCTTCTACCCTCGAACAAACTGTGGCTTAGGGAAACAAGATCAAATTATTTAAACCAGTATGCTTTCAAACCAAAGTCTGTTAACACATTAGGAATTTTTTGCGAGTCTGTTAGAAGTTCAACACCTAAAATTTCTGTTAATGCTTCTTAGTTCATTAGAAAACCTTGCTGAAAACATAGCTTCGTCATGGTAATTTTAATCTCAGGCAGAATCTAGATGCCCCAAGGCTCCAAAGTTCTAACAGATCACCTCTCAAAATCTAGGAATGAAGTTTAGTGGGGGGGAAAACCCTCAAAACACAGCTATGGTTTAACACAATCTATATTCTTAAAATGTACACATTTCACCTATATAAATAGCAATTTAAGATTTAGGTTTTGCATTTTCATTAGTATAACACAACTCAACTGCTGGAAAAGAAGTATTGAATGTCCTCCTGATTTATGACACTAATCTTATTAATGTAAAGAAACATGGAGGATCTGTATTGCAAATCACTTACCTAAAGTACGTGGCAATACAGAGAATGACAACAAGCATTGGGTAGTATATATAGAATCCATCTGCAATGAAGGACAGGACTCTCATGGATCCCATTATCTAGGGAAAAAAAATCCACAAGAACAAGCTTTAATTAGCTATATTCTATGTATACCCATAAAGATTGTGCCATCTCACTCTAACACACAAACCTTTACAGCTACTGAAACACAGGCACGTATTATCATCACAGATCTGATTCAGACAGTTGATCCAGAATCAGCAGATATAAAGGCCACCTCCAACAGTGTATCTATCCACTTTGGGGTTCCTAGGGGGCTAGATTTTGTTGCCTCTCCTAGTTCAGAACAAGTGTAAGTCCGGTGGATTTTTTCATTTCCTGTGAAAGGAGTCTTAAGACACTAAGAATCTAGTTACTAGCAACAAGATTAAAGATGTGAGATGTAACTTGCAACAGAAACCAGTTCAATAAAAACAAACTCACTGGTTTTCAGTAGCAAGTTAGGTTTGATCCCAATCTATAGAGAAGTCCCACATGCTAAAGCCAGTGGAAGCTAAAGCTACTAGGAAGTGAAGAAAAGGCTGAACTCTAAAGTATAGTATTTTACTTTCTTATGATAAAGAGACAAAACTAGAAAAAATGACCTGTTTATGACTCCTAGAAATCATTACCAAGCTCCTGGTGCACGACCAAATATTTTTACCCAGTTTAATACTAGTAAAAAGATATTTGAGTGTCTGAACCTTATTATAAGACGTATTTAAAAATACTTTGCCTGCTCTCCAAACCATATTGAAGGCTCAAACCCACATTTTCTGTACTTACAGATGTATAAGCAGTTGGCTGAGTGTTCTTGTGAGAGATTGTTGCATCCATATGGGTCAAGCCCAAAAAGTTCAAGCACAATGGTGGAGTAAGACGGCAAAATAACCTGCACAAATGCAAAACGCAAGTGCATTTGAAAGAATTGCTTACATTAACTGCAAAATCATAACTGAATCTATCACAGAATAATGATATACAGCTCATTAGGATTTATACCCCTACAATTATAAATTAAAGAACATAAAGTTTCAGGGACATTTTCAATTGTGTATTTGATAGGGAATCTGCAAAATATATAAAAAAGAAGTGGCACATACTCACATGCCACTGAAAAGGAGACTGTAAGCATCTGTCTGATGATGTGAAGCTAAGTAGTAATAGTTAAATACACGGATCCTGAAGACAGTAGAGTAAACACAGATACTTAGGAAAAAGATGGTAAGAAAACAGGCCATCTGGGGGGAAAAAAAAAATGTTGCTCTTTGAATATAGAACTTTACTAAAGGTTTCCAACTAACTTTAATTGAGAATTGTAACGTTCTACATATAAGCTAACACAGATGACCCTAGGAACTTGGATTTCTTGTTATGTAAATAAAATTTCTGTAATTGCCTCAGTAATTACTATGATTGATTGGACTGATTTTCCCACAAAAATGGGATAAAACCAAGTGTTTTCATATCAACCTTATGTAAGTATACTGGAATTTTTCAGCTCAGTTCCTTTACTGATAAATTTGGGCACACATATGGTAGCCACATCTGTGACTGGATTCCTGGTCATCAGCAAATTCCTGTTAAGGAAAGAGAGGTCACACACAGCTGATTAGACACAAAGTCTAATTAGAACCTAAGCTCTAAGCTGATGATTCAGAAATTACTCTGCATATGATATTCAGCCCAGCTGGGTCACACCTTGACCAGAGAGAGCTTTAAGAAGTGACAAAAGGCAGACTGTCTCCATAGAAACAAAGTTTGATATAATATATTTAAAGACCATCTGAAAGTTGACAGATTATTTAGGGATTTATTGTTAAATCTATTTGACAGACTTTGTTATCGTAACTATCTGTCTGAAAATATTTTTGTCAAGTGACTGTCTCCAACTTACCTCTATGTATATATAATTATATGTCTTCTCTGCCAGCTGTATGAAAACTGCAAATAGCGATAGAACTGGTTTTGTGCTGAAAAATGTGCACTCTGACCACACAACAATTACAGAGAATGTAGCTAGCACAACGGCAAGCACTCTGTAAAACCATGGTCGTAGAAGACATTCCCAGTACCACTCTGGAAAAGACAAACGAACACATATATCCGGAATGGGTTAATGAAAATTACAAAAGCAGAAATGGAACTCCCTCACAAGAGATGTTATGAACTTCTTGCATGCCCACCCTTAAAATCAAGGCTGGCATCTATGGGGTCACACACTTAATTTCAGGGCTTTTCCAGTCTAGAGATCTGCGTCAGCCGTAAGGAATCCTATGCCCAACTGAGGAAAATAGGGTGAGATTTGAGGAGGCAAATTTTGCAAATAGATTGAGGGGTGTGGGGTATGTAGAACAACTCTCCAGTTTTAGCCCAGATACTATCAGTGATTCACTTCTTGTTTGTTCATCTGTTACTTTCTCAGAAACAAAGCTTAGGCTGTAAGATTTTATTGTCCTGCCCTGGAAATAACTCACTGCTACTGCACAACAAATTATATGTTAAAGCATGATTACAAAAAGAAACTTTCTGAAAAGATGCACAAGCAGCCACACGTGTTAATGTTTGGTACATGACACATGAAGTGTCTTTTCCTCTGCTTTACTGGAAGAGCAATACCACCTCAATAGATCCCACAAATGCAGAAGATAGCCATCATCCAATTGTTTAGAGATGCTATTTTCTTTCTTTTTCTAAGGCTTTACAGTTTGCTATTGCTTTATTACAACATGTAACTGCTACTAGATGTGTAAATAAAATTTAAGCTTATGGTGAAGAGCATAAATTACTAGCTATTCCATTACATAAATGCATTAAGATTGTACACTTATTTTCCTCTACTGCAGCTGAACTTTCAACATAAAACAATTGGTTCTTACAAAACAGTATCAGTTATGCCTTGAAAGACTCAAAATCTGCAAGCCAGCACTTACCAACAGTTGGTGTGTAGAAATACTGAATAATTTTATTCTCTGGCTCCTGGGAATGAAAGGTATGAACAAACTGACGCGTAGCACTTGTTTCGTTTTTTGCCACATCTTCGAGGTAAAACGCTTGCTCCAGAAGAATTTGCCACTGGACCTGTGTACGACGGTGTCTCTGTACTGAGTAGATCACCTACAATAAATTGCAAGAAATTAGGGTTAGAATGTACTTGTTTCAAGAAATGAGAGAAGAGCCTTGCAAAATCCCTCAAAAATATGTGCACTGCACAATTACACACTTGGTATATTCATAAAAGTGGGTAGCTAATTCTCTAAATACAAAAGTCACAGAAGAACTTCATACTGGATTCCTGAGTTTTGCAGTACTTTTATCACAATCCACCTGTAGCAGTAACAGCCTACTTTTTCCAACACATGACTTTATTTTTGCATTTTAGTATATATCAAGTTTTTACTAGAATTTCTTTTTCAGAATGCACTGTCAGTCACTTGCAAAGTCATTACAAGGCCTACTGACAGACAGCTAGAACACTATCAAGATAAAACACAAGATGCACACTTTTTAAACCACGTAGAACTTTAATCACTTGCGATATTAGACTTCTGTGTTTTCTTTCACCAAGAAAAGTTTCTGTTAAGTAGCATTCCCAAAACCCACTATACTCAGCAATTCAGGAAAAGTGCACTGCAAATCTTTCCCTATCACTTACTCTCATTAATATGAGAGAGAAAAGCGAGGTATTCTCTCATTTATTAGTATACCTGCTTGTGAAGTTTGACCAGACTTTTCTCACTTGGATAACTGTTCTGTCTTTCATCAAAATCTTCATAATCATCCATGTTCCTACCCATTCTTTCCTGGTACTCAGTAGGACACTGGAAAAGGAAAAGGGAAAATTAACTGGAAAATGAAGGAGTAGCAAGTGCTCTTTGTTAATTATTAGTAAATGTCTGGGGCATTTTTTCATGCAATGGAAAAGCTCACTCTAAGCAAACATTTTTCTCTTTCTAAAATACTATGTACATCAAAATACAACTAATAATTATGTGTAATAAGAAAGGATTTCACAAAGAAACTCAGAAGGTGCCAAATAGAGATTTTATATTAAGAGAAAAAGAAAATAATGTACAAGTACATGCAGGAAGCACAGGCTCCTAACTGAACAATTACAGATGAAGATGAGAAATTTGTTACCTTTTTCAGTATTGTATCAACACATTTTCTCAAGGGGTGGTTATATTTGATACTCTCACTTACTTTACGGACTTCCTGTTGAGGAAAAAAAATACAGCGTCTTGTATTCATGTTATATTAAAAATTCAAATAAAATAAATTTTTAATAAATTATAAATTTGTACATGGTCAAATAAGAATTGCAGCCTTCCCAATGGAAAAGACAGCCATCAAAGTCTAAAAAAACATACAGCTCTGTAAAAGTTATAGCTTTACTAGGTCTAAGTGAAGTATTTATGAAGAACATATATGTATATTTAAAAAAAAAATACTAGTGTGCAAACATTACTATACAATGTGTGGAGAATTGTTTTCTATTGCTACAAGTGTTCAACACCAGGAAATTCAGAGCCTATTAAAAGCAGCCTTCATTTATTTCATAGTGAAATCTAGTTACTTACCTCCATAATATCCTCTAAATTCTCCTCTGCATCTGCTTTTTCAGTCATCAGTTTGGCAGCTTTGAAATAAGTCTTCATGAGCAGATAACCCCTCTTGGCCCCATTCCAGTGAGAACGGGGGATTTCCACCAAACCATAACCCAAAAGCAACACAAGAAGAAAGAGACCCCATGTGTTTGCAGCAGCTATCCCAATAGTCTGAAGTTGGTTCCTAAGGGAAAAAAAAAAAAAAAAAAAAAAAAAAAAACAAACCGAAATTAAACCAAACCACAACAAAAATCCCAATTCAAAACAAAAACAAACAAACAAAACCACACTCCAGCATCCTCTTGCCCCATCTGCAAGAAAGAGGCCTTGAAGTATGTATGCACCAATATAGCTTTCAAGTTTACAGCAATAGACTTAGTATCACCTATAATTTTTGCCTAGAGTCAGTCTGCTATTTAGCCATATTTAAAGTTCCCATAATTTTTCTGTATCTCACATGTTTCTGATGCCCCTCTAGAAGGAAATAAAAAATGCTTGTTCTCAAAGAAATATGTTCCTTTAGGAAACAACATGAACTTAGCAAAACTATTGAAAATGAGGTCAAAACACCACAATGGCAGTCACTATGAGAAACAGCCTCAGAAACTGAGATTTGTTTTCAGAATATTGTATTCAAAATTTGTATTCCATCTAGTATGAAAGACCACTAGCAATGCTATAAATGCCAATTATTTTAACTTTCCTCACCATCTTTAAATAGTCCACAGCAGACCGAAGTGCTACACAGGAAACAGTGACTTTTGAAATATGTTGTTCTGAAAACATTGACTGTTTCTGCACTAACTCTGCGAATGTGTTTGTATGGAGAAAAAAAAAAAGCACTGCAAATGCAAGAGGATTCCTCTGCTGTACGTATAAAAATCAGAAAACAAGAAGTTCCTATAAACAGTCAAAAAAGCACTTTTCATATAAAAATCCAACTCTCCAACTGCCTAGCAAAAAATTTTACCAACTAAAACTGTGTTTTTAAAAAAAGACTCATTTCATCTACAGAAGCAATTACCAGTGAAAACTATGTAAGAGCTCATGGAAGCGCTTACAACATTATTCTTACCATTGCAAATTGAAGTTTGGGTTTACAGCCACATATATCAAAAACGCCCCAAAAATCAGCAAGTAAGTGCCATAATATATTGCATTCTCAATCAATGCAGTTTTAATCTTTCCAGTAATGGAGAACCCTCCTGATCTTGCATATGACTGCATGAAAGGTAGCAGAATCCTAGGAGAAAAGCAAACAAAACCAAACCACATCAACCAACCAACCAACCAAACTCCCAAACCAAAACAAAAACCCCTAACCAAACAAAAAACTCCCACCAACAATAACAAAACAAAAAATCCAACCAAAACAACAAAGCATCCCCCCCCCTCGAAAGTACTACAGCAGTGCCAGAATGCTGAGACAGAGGTGTTAAAGCTTAAGGCTCCCAAGCTTCAAACAAATTAGCTATTACATATTTTCATTCTAGATGTACCTGTCTGATGGCAAACCTTAACCATGGTGTACATAAAAACAACACAGTCAGCTTTACTACAAAAAACCTGTAATAACTAGCACTGACTACCAGCTCTGATATTCTTAACTGAACTACAAAAACTATTATTTGGTGACAAGCTGATCAGAAAGCACACATTAATCTAACGTGAAAACACAGACAATCTTTTCTCTGTAGCTGTAGCTACAGCTTTATATAGTATATTTACTAATACAAAATAATTTACAATATTACTTACAAATTACCCAGCTTATTCATGGAATTGTTTTGGTACCTGGTCGCCTAAAACCTTTTTTTCAGACAACCTATCCATAAACACATCTATGTGTAAATTTCTCAGTTTCAAGTACAAAAATGAACCAAGAGTAAATGGCTGCCACCTGAAATTTGCTTCTACGAGAACAAGCAAAAAACGACTATGTTCAATTTAGTACTGTAATTATTATGGAAATTTCAGTGCTAGCAAATAATATATGATTTAAGAGCTCTTTGCAATAGTGATACACATTCTTAAAGAATATGTTATGACTGTTAAGATGTTGCATTTAGAAATCATACCTGTCTTATTCATATTCTTTTGCCTTACTTACCATGTTAGAAACTGAGACGTCCAATACACAACACGCCAGAAAATTGGCATAATTCCATTAGGAATATAACTCCAAGGTTTGAAACATTTTTGTTTGCTATAACAACGTAATAAAAGCAAACTGTTAATTTTAGAGCCAAGAGTATAAAAACATTTTCTATGAATTCCCTATCTAGAAAGGTCTCTGAAAAGAGCAGAAAAGTAATGCAATACTATTTGAGTAAGTAGTCAATGATTAACTACTTCAGAAAGAAATAAACTGAATCATCAGTTAAAAATACATATTGTTTTCCTAACTCCAAATAACCTATCTGGACAAGAAAGGTTTCTTAGAGAAAACAACAGAAGCTCAAAGATAAGAGAGGAATATTCAATCAAGCAGTTTAAGGTTACGATTTTTCTTTTTGGGCAGAAATTACTTCATGTAAATCAAAAACATTTCTGAAGACAAACATCATTTAACTTTAGTTAGCTCTGCAGGTTTTAAAAAATATCTAGGGACCTCATTACTAGAGCATTTAGTGGTACAGGAAGTGTATTAATTGTATCTTCTGCCACCTAGCTGGATTCAGTCAGTCTCAGAAAAATTTTGGTTTGTTAAGCCAGCAGTTTTCCGACAGGTAGTATTTGTTTCAGAAGACCAGAAAAGCCACAGGAGCCTTCTTATTGAAAAAAGAAAGAAAGAAAAAAGAGCAAAAGCCAAGGTGTCCCTCTTCACTAAGACACTTTTCACACACGTGTTTGGGTAATGAAGCAATGATGAGTCAAGGGCAGTAAAGTCAATTTAGACAGAATTGCTTAATGATAAATAATTGGTGTTTTCCAGGGTCAAACTAGTTAAGCCTGAGTTGTAAAATTTTATGGGCACAGCCTAAATATTTTCAAAACTATTAAATTATGATAGAATGACAGGTAGTGTGACAAAAGGTTTCACGGCCTGTCCTATGAAGACAGGCTGAGTGAGCTGGGGTTGTTCAGCCTGGAGAAGTGAAGGCTCCAGGGAGACCTCACTGCAGCCTTCCAGTACCTAAAGGGGCGTTATAAAAAGGAGGGAGAGGGACTTTTTATATAGGTAGAGTGGACAAGAGGCAATTGTTTTAAACTGAGAGAGGGAAGGTTTAAATTAGATACTAGGAAGAAATTCTTTACTGTAAGAGCAGTGAGACACCGTCACAGGCTGCCCACAGAACCTGTGGATGCCCCATACCTGGAAGTGTTCAAGGGCACGCTGGATGGGGCTTTAAGCAACCTGGTCTAGTGGAAAGTGTCCAAGGTGGGGGGGTTGGAACTAGATGATCTTTAAGGTCCCTTCAAAAAGCATTCTATGATTCTATAAAAAAGGTTTGTCTGAAGTTATAGGTAAATTGAAAGGTTACTGAATAGTTTTCAAGTTGAGTATTTGCTTAACTATGTTTAATTAACATACACTGGGTGGTCGTAAATAAATATTGCAATATTGTGCCAGTGAGTCTATCATTTCACTGTTCTTCCACAGACGTACAACATCCAGACCTCTGCTTTGGGGTAACAAGCCTCGAAATACTTTGCATGGACATATCAACTGACATCTTAAAGCCTCTGATCATCTCAGATAACTACACTGTACACATCTACAGTGCGGGGAAACAGGCAGTGGAGGCTGAAGAATGAGTGGGCACAGAAAGAGCCCACATTCATCTACATTCCCCATGTTTTAGGGATTACTTTCTTCCTGCCAGACGACAACAAGCAGGTTTTTTATTACTTTGGTAGAATACAGTGAATTTCAGATAACTCCAATTACTATATATATGTAATTATAAAAAGCAATTAGATATGCTGCTTACATATCAGACAAGTCTGTTAATTTCATTCATAAGGCATACAATTATATTTTCAGGTTTAAAGTCTTTAAGATTGTGAAGGATACATAAGCATTCACCAAAATGTCTCCTCATAACCAAGACTGCTCAAAAAGCTTAGTTCTATTGCTTTAACAACAACAACAAATCTAGCATGATAAAAAAAACAGCTGGGTAATCAGTCAGAACTACTATATAATTACTCCCAACATATGCAGATGCACTTTTTTGCACCTCTTTCCTCACCTTCCTGTATGCTTACAGCCTTCAAATGTTGCATCACACAGATAACATTTGTTCATTAGTCATAAAAAGACAATACACTCTAATCAATTAAGAAAATCATAAAATACTTATTTAAAAACAGTCTAAAGGAAAAACAGGTATCTCATACCTTGGAGAAAGAGTAACGTAAGAGCCATTACTTTCTGCAGGACTGGAGTTAACAGCAAGTTTGCATCGATTATAAATAGTCTAAAAGATAATTCATTTTGCATTAATGACCAAAAAGGTATAGCTTTTTTAAAAACAGTAAGTCCCATTTTAAAGACATTCCATGTATTCCAGGTTTATATTTGGAAGCAATTATACTAATAAACACTCAAAACAATATGGAATTTGCATGTAAGTAAAAAGCTGAAAGTGTCTTTTTCCTGCCTACACAGACAAAGAAAACCGTTATAAACAAGTAACAAATTTTAAAGTGTTTGAAATAGATTTTTTATCTGATGAGATCAACAGACAGTAAAATTAATTATAACCACAGACGCTGGCATGTATAAAGGTAACTAATGTTTAACTTAATACGATAGTATACCGAAAATTTCATTGCTGTTTAAGAGATTGTCTTTTGAAAGCAGTAATTCAGAAAAAATACCATACACATTTTATGCAACTAAGCAGAAAGTCTTTCACGTTTCTTACCGTACTGACATCCAGAGGCAGTATAAATACAATGAGGAAGCAGAGATACCACGCCAACAACGTTGCTATGATCACAAGCCTATGCTGTTTCTTGAAGTCCCCATACCGATGAAGGAGGAATAAGGCCAGAAAAAAGACAAACACTATCTCAAGGCCCAGCGCTGCACCACTCATTGTTGAATGATCGCTCCAGCCACACAGCACAGCTCAGTGGAGAAAGCAGATCAGAACTGTAGGATAAAAAGGCATGGAACTCCATTAAAATCTCTGGAAAATACTCAGGCAGCAAAGAGTTGCTCAGTGGATATTTTCAAACCTATGAACAGAATTTTTGTATTTCACGTGACTGGAACTCTGGTCAGATGTAGAACAGGATTTTCAGCAAGGTGCTCTGAAGTCCTCTACAGAAATCAAAATACATAATTCCAATGTTGTCCTTTCTAGCAATGTATCAGGACAACTCCTGTTCATCACCTTGATACACAACAGATCCAGAATCAAATCTCTGTCCTTGAGCAGACTACTAGTCTTACTTTAAGTCCAGTTAAATTTCAAGAGGAAATTTTATTCTGCTCTTTTTCCCCCTTTTAGAACTAATCAACTAATTTGGATGAAGGGTTAAATGTTTAAATTAAATGTTTCTGGAAAGCTAATGAACAACTTTTTAAATGAACCATACCTCAACTACACATTTAAATTCTTTAGTCAGAGTTAACAAAGCATAAAAATGCAGCAAAGTATTGCATTAGCCTACTTGTGATGTATCGCTTTTAGGCTTGAAATGTCAAGAACTTCAGTTCACTTTCCTAGTCCTCTTTTGTTCATCTTCAGAAAAAAAAAAGGTCTCAACTCATTTGGTATTAGTCTTGCCATGATACATTTTTGCTTTGCTCATCTTTCTGTGTTTAGTTACCTTTTACAGTCTGGACTGCTAAGAGTGCCTAAAAACTTCACACATATTCATATACACCTGCTATTTTCAAAGGGACAGTAAGCTGCACAGATCTATTATGGAACGTTTCACTGACTTGTTACATCATTAGTTAAACTGCTTCAGACCTTTTTAATAAGCATCATTTTACCACAGGCACTTCACACATTATTTAAAAAAAAAAAAAAAGTTTATTACTGTGGCCAGTCTTGCTTCTCCATCAAGATTACCATTTCAGCTAGTTTGATTTAAGTGAAATAGTTTTTGAAATGCCCTCCCCACTGTTAGACTTTCAGTACTTTCACTTTTCTGGAGATTTAAAAGGAATGCTACAGCTAAAATTTCCCTTGATTTACTTTTAAATACCTACATAATTTGGTAAAGTGAACCATTTCTTTTACTAATTTCTCAGTATACTGCTTAAGCAGATCTGTTATGCATGACGGCACTAAGCAGTAAAAACTGTCCTATTTGCACTAAAAAAGTCCAAACTTTATGATGCCATTACTATCTTGAGGACACACAGGACAATTATTCTGTGATTTTTTTTTCCCCAAAAATTTGTTTCTCCACATTTTCCACTTTCACATTTGAGTTTTAAACAGTAAGAGCAGTCTGTTCCCTCCATATTGGCACACAGAGGATCCCATATTCTGAAAATAACTCCAGTAACCCTCCTGGTTTTTGTCAAAGATACACACACTTTTTATTTTCTGCCCTTCATCGAACACGTTTATCAAATTACTATCATTTCTGTCAGGCCAAAGCATCCCCTTACTACCTGTCTGTACTACATTTTGGCTAGATATTTTGTAAGTCATGAATCCAGGATATCTAACCTCTTTCTCAGTCATTTATTTTAGGCAAATCCTTATCTATTCTATTGTACCATTCTTGTTTCCCCAGAAAACAGTCTTTTGTATTTACAGTATTGCAGCAAATTCCACAAAAATAAAAACATCAAAGCAATTATGTATCAACTTAATTAAGGCAGTGCTATCTGACATAGCTTTGGGTGCCCATTATAGCCACACCTTTGCTACGTAAACAAAAGAAATTATACCGCATACACTTCATTAGTCATGAAGTTTTACTACACTCACACCTAAAATGCTGCTATCAAAACAGAGGGTGAAAAGTTTTTGTGCAAGATGCTACTATAAAAATGGATAGGCTAAAACAAAGAGGGAAATGAGTCCTACCACAACTTAACTCACTTTCAAAGACAAAAGTGGATTTACAGTTATCAGTAAACTACATCTTTATGTTTGTCCCTGTGATTTTGATCTAAAAACGCAAAATGAAAAGTCTATTTTTTTACAAGAGTGTGACTAATAACAGTTATTTTGAATAAATGTACATCCAAACAGTTTAAAATTTTTAGATAGAAACCACTTAAAACTAACTCTCTACACAAACAGCTTAAATTGAAAAAAAGTCCACAAAGCGAGAAATGGAATGCTTGAGAGGAGCTCTTCCTGTGAACTAAATCCAGCCTAACAGGGCAGACACATTCAGGACCTGCGCTACTAGAACCAAACCTTAAAATACAGTATTGTAGGCTTTAAGGCCATGTCTTCCTGTGGACAGCAGCGTTTGCCTCTGAACCTGGTTGTTAGTTCAAGGAAAGGTAAGCTCCTTACCCATCATTCTGTTTCTTCACTTTATTTAGACAGCCTTCTCACTATTAGCACACAGCTCCCCAGTAACTGCTAGCTGAAATTCCTGAACCTTTAAAAAAATGTTCTCCTGAGATAAATTAACTACTTCAGAAGAGTTCTCTTGTATTGCACAACCTTAAATGACTTGGAAGATGCTCCAAGTAATGACAGTAATGACAAAGCAACGCAATCCCCCACTATGAATGAAGGAGTATTTATCGGCATACTCCATTTCTGAAGAACCACTCAGCTACATATTAATACAAATAAGATCAAAGGCTGAAACTGTGGTACTGGAAGTGCAACTTAACCAAAAAAAAAAAAGGATATGCTCTTGTGTTGGCTTAGGGTTTTCTTGCTTCATTTCAGACACAGACCAAATCAGTTAAGTTTTTAATTTTACCTAGCTAATAACTGTTTGCAAGCATTAGGAAGGGCTCGGTTCAGACTTAATTCCCATGAAGACTCCCTGCTATCAACAGTATTAAATTACTCTGCCAGCCTCAAGACTAACCACACTCATGACCATCTACATTACAAATGAACTAAGTACTCTGCCTGGTACAGAAATACTCAAGTTACTAAATGAAACTGCAGAGAATGAAAAAAACCACACTTCCTTACAGCTTTTATATAGCACCAAATTTATCAAAGACACTCCAACATTATATTCTTAAAGAAGGGCTAAGAAGAGCAGAGCATATCTGCGAAGAAAGGACCTTGGTCTCACTAAAGTGGATTCCAATACCCCTTTAATCAGAAATCCCAGACCAGACTGTACCCCAGTTGCTCGGGCTTTTTTTTTCAAACTTTGCAAGAAAACATTTTACCAGCAGATTGTTCCTTTTGTAGACTAATGTAATTGGTGCTTCAATCTTTCCCATTAAGCCTACTATCACCTTTTCTGCAGATTTCTCACTGCTGCCCTTGACACTCCACCCAGCTTACCCTCTTCCTTCTACAAGGATGAGGAACTACCACCCCCCAGTCTCTCAGCTAATGCCTGAACTGAGGGTAAACACTGCTTCACATGCCTGAGAAGCATAAATAGAACTTAAACCTGAGTGCTATTCCCTTCACAAACTCAGCTTACTATGCCCTCCAAATTCTTTTCCTCCAAGAAACTATTCTCTGTCGTGTATTTCTGTAGTTGATTGCTCCTGCTTAAGCACAAACACAAAACTCCGCTCATTTGTACCCATTCCCCTCTCACAAGTTTCTGAATCTTTAAGGTATTTTGACTTCCATTACTACACCAAAAAGACTTGAAATTTCTCCTAGTTTTGTGCCTTCTTAAGTTTTAATCATGACGCTATTTCATCAGGGAAACTGTGAAAACCATGAAGAAGGGATTGGCCTTCTTAGTCACAACAGTAGCCCTTCCCAGCTTTCCTCCCCAAGCAAAAACATCCAGAATCAAAAGTCCTATTAAGACAGATATAAGACATCAACTGATCCTCTCACAGTAGGTCTGTCAGTCACCACTGAAATAAATTAGATCATTTCAACCATGTGTCCTTGACACACTGATGCTATCTTTTACTCATCTATTATATTTTAGATGCTTACAAATAGCTTTTGTGACAGATTTTTTTTTTCAGGAATTCAGAAAGAAGCAGAGAAGTCTGCCAATCTGTAGCTCTCCTCGTCCCTCAAATATTAGTAATAAGGACAGCCACCACGCTTCTAGTTTTCCTATCTTTGGTACCTCAGCCATTTCTAGAATACGACAGACTTTTTTCCTCCAAGTATTGTCAGGTAGAGCTCAAACAGATCTAGAAAAGTTGCATTTCTAGAAATCTTGGATATCTAAGTTGGAACACCTGAAAAAAACACGCAGCCTTACTCTCTATTTTAAATACCATAATCGCATCTGAAAAAAAATCTGTTCCCGTGAAAGTTGCCAAATTATGAAAGAGATATCAGAGACAGCAATAAACAAAACTGATAGCCTCAGCACACAGAAACAAGCATCGGTGCAACAGCATCGGCCACCTCAAGCTGAAATCACAACTCAGCTGCAAGTGAAAGCTGCTACCTCCAGGAATATATCAATGACCAGCTCAGCAATGACCTTTTGCCTTTCTGTCAGGGAATAATCTGCTAGTTCTTATCGAGTTCCTACCAGGACATTTCACTTGGCAAAAAAAAAGCACGATGCCCAACATCTGTGTTTGGAAGCCTGCCCTACTCTGCAAAATTATGCTGTTAAGAATAGTAAAGAAAGACTTCACTTTACACACATGACTAAACTTTTGGGACTGATAGAACTGCCCCACATTAACACTTCCATCTTTAAACAACAAAATGGGCTAGCTTCACATTTCAGAACTCTTAAAAGAGAGAAGCACAAGAGGTCAAGCAATAATAAAAACAATCCCTTCAGCCATTTTCATATCCAAGTCTGCTTAGTGTGCTGTGGGGATTTCTTTTTTGCTTGGTTTTAGGTTTGGGCGGTTGAGTTTGTGGTTTTGGGGGGTTTTTTTTATTACTTCATTATTACACACTGGCCATTGCAGCTTGGGGAAATAGTAAGTATTTATAAGCAGACAACAGTCAAAGAACTGCTTTATCTTAGCACAGTGAGAAAACTGTCTAAAGAAAGAAAATAGCCACAAACTGCCAGAGAAAACTGACCAAAGAACTTATCTGCTTGCACTATTTCAGAGAAACAACCTCTGAGATTAATCAAGAATGCAATTTGCATGGCTTTGCTCTTCAAAGAAACACTAGTCAGACTCTGTATTGACTAATATTTTATTAGTACCTGTCGCTTTAATTAGCTTGCAATGAAGAAAAATGACTAAATATTTAATTGATAGTGTATCAATATTTAGAGGGAAAAGTTTTCTATCCTGTAATGACAAGGAAAAAAAAATAATAAAATGCTGTGCTGATACCACTCAAAATAGTGGTAATCTCTGGTATGGTGGGAGACTAGGTTCTCCACAGAAGTACTAAGTAAAAGACAAATTCTTGACCGTTAAGATTTTTGTGTTCAATTGCAAGGAGGGACCATCAGCATAAAACCATGGGAAGCTTATTTACTTTATAAAGCGCTGCCCTGTCCTCTACTAAAGGATCACGAAGGTTGGAAAAGATCTCTGAGATCATCGAGTCCAACCTTTAACGTACTAAGTTCCACAGAGGCTGATGTTTTAAAGGGTTTAGGGAAGTACTCTGCAAATAACACAGTGAAGAAAATAACTTGCTTATCAGAGGAACTAAAATAGAATCAGACCCAAACGCCGTGCAGATGCAATCAGAATCTAAAAAAAGAATAGAAATCGCTACCTTGGCTACCACGCTAATGCACTCACACAAAGCAGGTGTCAGTGAGGCAGTCACATGAGCACTGCCCCAACGCGGCATTCAGGCGAACAGACTGTCTGGTAACTCTGAGGTTGTAAAAAATAATAATTTCATTTTATCCCTTTCAGCAAAACCATCTTTCGATTTCCTACACATTAACGGAGAAAACTGGCGTGATTCACGAAGAAAACAGTGGCTGCAGAAAAGATGAAATAAATACAGCTTTTTTTTTTTCTTTTTTTTTTTTTTTTTTTTTTACTAAAACCCCACCTCTTTTTCATTTGATTATCTGCCTCAATAACCTTTGGACAACTGTTCCATGACTTCAGCTAAAACTGGAAACGGCTAAGAAAATATTTTTTTTAAGATCATATGGATGTCAATTTGAGACACACCATCCTCTGTGTTTGTAACAGCTGTATACTATTCGCCACGGGTTGCACCACCATGCCCAATTTTACAGGCACGTCTCTCCATCGTTATGCAGTAAACAAAGGACAGCACTCGCAAGCAAGGGGCTGACTAAGAGAGCGTGTTCAGGACGAGTTTTCCATCCCCACCAATTTCAAAACAAGTAGTTTGGGAAGCGCGGCGCTGCCGAAAGACAGGGTGGCATAAACGAAAAGGCTGCCGGGTTTAAACGCGCGTGGTTGGGGACGGGAAGAGCGTACACGGGCAGGTCTCCTGAGAGAACACCTTCCGAGGGAGCTTCGCGGTGCCGGTGCTCCCCGCCCGGCCGCCCCTGCCAGGGTCGGTGTGCCCAGGCCTGTGCGGCGCAGACCGCGACCACACGCGGCACCGGCACGGACGGCCCGGGGCCCTGCGGGAAAGGGAGCGCTCAGGGCAAGAACGAACACCGACCCCCCCGCCGCTCCCAGCACTGCTCCGCGCCCACTCGTCCCTCGCTGCAGGGCCGTGCCGGGGCTGTCCCCGCGTCCCACCCGGGGCCGTGGCTCGTTCCCCGGCCGTGACTCGGCACTGCGGCCCCGCTCCACCCGGCCCCGCGTCCCGCCCGCAGCCGCCGCCGCCGCCGCCTCACCGCGGCCGAGCCCGCGCTCAGCACCGCGCCCCCCGCGGGGCTCCGCCACCCTCCATCGCCGCCGGCACCAGGCTCAGCGCGTCGCGCAGCCACCGCCGGCCGCTCCCGGCTCCTGCCGCGTCCGGGCTGCCGCCATTCGCCGCTCGGCCCCGCCCCGGGGCGGGCACGGGGAGCTGCGGAACTACAGCTCCCGGCGGCCCCCGCGGCTTCCGGCCGGCCCGGGGATGGCGCGGTGCTGAAAGGCGCGGGGCGCGCGGCGGCGCGCGCGGGCCTTCCAGCGCCATGTACAGGTACCGGGACACGGGCATGCAGGGACACGGGCATGCAGGGACACGGGAACGGGGGGCTCACCGATGGGCTGCTTGCGAGCTCTCGTAAAGGGAGGGCTTGAGTGTCCCCCTCCCCCGCTGCTCGGGGGTGGTGGGCTGTGCGGGGCGACTCTGGGCGCTGGGAGCGGGAATGGGACCCGAGGGAGCGGGGAGTGGGTTCCGGGAGAGCGGGAGTGGGTTCCTGAGCGCGGATGCGCTGCGGGGCCACGCACGGGGTGTGTGTGTGTGTGTGTGTGCGGGGATTTCTGGACCGCTCCTCTCCCGCCTGCAGCGGGCGGCGGTCGGGATCGAACCCCCGCGATTCCCCCCGTCCATCCAGCCCCGCTGCCCCTGCGGGGGTCCCCCCCGACCCGCTTCTGGGGGCTGTGAGGCCGCCGCGGGGGTCGAGCCGGACCCGCTGGTCCTCTCGCCCGCCCCATCCGGGAGCGGGGCGCGCTCGGTCCCTGGCGGGATCTCACCCCGGCCGTGCCAGACCGAGCACACGCCTGCTCGTGGCCGCTGCTGGTGCTTCCAGCGCCCGGAGATCCCACGGTTAATCGCCCCGCGTGTGGATGCGGGTTGCGGGTGACTTTGCAATGTTGCCGTGCGCTCGTACCCCTCGTGTGTTCGGTGCCGATGTGGCGGTACCCTCAGAGCCCGTGGGTTTTGCTCCGTCTGCAGGAAACACCTCCAGGAGATCCCATCCTCCAGCACTAACGTTTCCACCAGCTTGGACTGGGACTCCAGCAAGACCTCGGAGTTCCTCTCGAGCGTTCCTCTCGGAGTGTCTGTCCTTAAGAAAGAAAAGCTGGGCAATGAAAACACGCCGCAAGACCTGGTGTCATCAGGCTGTCCTGCTCCAAAACGGCAGAAGGAGTTTGTTATTGTGCGCCGGCCGTGGCTGCTCCGAGAGGCAGAGCCAGGTACGATCACCCTGGTCCCAGTTCTGTGCACCCTTCAGTAGAGATGGAGAGGGGGTGTCACAGGTTGCCACTGCCTTATTGTTTACTTTTTTTTGCTCTTACCCAGCAGAATGTCACTTTCAGAGCTAGTTGCTTTCAGGCCTGGGTTGATAAACCCTGTTTTATGTAAGTCTTTAAACAAGAGTGGTGTGTCTGGCTCCAGAACTGTGGCAAATGAAAAGCATGGATCTCTCCTGCCTAGTCCTGCCAGCTCCTGTCTGTATGCTGGGGATTTGTGCTGCATGTCCCTCTGTCTCTCTGATCTTGCTGTGTGGGACATGGGTGGCACCTTGGCCTGTTGCAAATGAGTGTTTTAAGGTTGCTGCACAGGAGCACACTGTCCCATTGTGCTGAAAGCCAAGGCGATGAGGAAGATGGTCAGCCTAGCTGAACAGGGAGATTTTGAAGGAAATTAGGGGAAAAAAAGAGAGTTTACTGCCTGTGGAAAAAAAGGCTGGCTATTCTTGAAGAGTTTAGGACCATAGTTAGGTCATAAAGAAAGAAAATTAGAGAGACAAAGGCACAATTTGAACTCAGTGTAGCCACTTCTGTTAGGGATAACAAGAAGTGCTTCTATAGATACGTCAATAGCAAAAGGAGGGGCAAGGAAAACCTCCATTCTTTGTTGGACGGGGAGGGGGGGAACATAGTCGCCAAAAATTAGGTAAAGGCTGAGGTATTTAACACCTTCTTTGCCTCAGTCTTCAACAGTAAGACAGGTGCTGAGGACAGCTGGCTTCTGGAGCTTGTAGACAGAGACAGGAAGCCCAACAGCCCCCCTGTAATCCAGGAGGAAACAGTGAGCGACCTGCTGAGCCACCTGGATCCTCACAAGTCCATGGGACTAGATGGGATCCACCCAAGGGTGATGAGGGAGCTGGTGGAGGAGCTCACCAAGCCACTCTCCATCCTTTACCAACAGTCCTGGCTCTCTGGGGAGGTCCCAGATGATTGGAAGTTGGCAAATGTCACACCCATCCACAAAAAGGGCTGCAAGGAGGACTCAGGAAACTCCAGGCCTGTCAGCCTGACCTCAGTGCCTGGCAAGGTCATGGAGCAGATTATCCTAAGTGCAATCACACAGCAGCTACAGGATGGACAAGGGATCAGAGCCAGCCAGTACAGGTTCAGGAAGGGCAGGTCCTGTCTGACCAACCTGGTCTCCTTTTATGATCAAGTGACCCACCTGGTGGATGAGGGGAAGGCTGTGGATGTGTCTACTGGACTTCAGCAAAGCCTTTGACACCGTCTCCCACAGCATATTCCTGAAAAAGCTGCAGCCCATGGCTTGGACAGGGGCACTCTGTGCTGGGTTAAAAACTGGATGGATGGCGGGAGCCCAGAGAGTGCTGGTGAACGGGGCTGCATCCAGTCGGCAGCCAGTCACGAGTGGTGTCCCCCAGGGATCAGTGCTGGGCCCAGTCCTGTTTAACATCTTTATCGATGATTTAGATGAGGAGATTGAGTCCATCACTAGTAAATTTGCAAATGACACAAAGTTGGGGGGAAGTGTTGATCTCCTGGAAGGCAGGAGGGCTCTTCAGACCTGGACGAGCTGGAGAGATGGTCTGATTCCTATGGAATGAGGTTTAACAAGGCCAAGTGTCGGGTCCTGCACTTTGGCCACAACAACCCCCTGCAGCGCTACAGGCTGGGCACAGAGTGGCTGGAGAGCAGCCAGGCAGAAAGGGACCTGGGAGTTTGGGTTGACAGGAGGCTGAACATGAGCCAGCAGAGTGCCCAGGTGGCCAAGAAGGCCAAGGGCATCCTGACCTGGATCAGGAACAGTGTGGCAGCAGGAGCAGGGAAGTGATCCTTGCCCTGTACTCAGCACTGGTGAGGCCACCCCTGGAGTGCTGTGTCCAGTTCTGGGCCCCTCAGTTCAGGAAGGATATTGAGGTGCTGGAGCAGGTCTAAAGAAGGGTAATGAGGCTGGTGAAGGGACTGGAGCACAAGTACTATGAGGAGAGGCTGAGGGAACTGGGGTAGTTTAGCCTGGAGAAGAGAAGGCTCACGGGAGACCTCACCACTCTCTACAACTACGTGGAAGGAGGTTGTAGCCAAGTGGGCTTCAGTCTCTTCTCCCAGGCAACCAGCAGTAGGACAAGAGGGCACAGTCTTAAGCTGTGCCATGAGGGGGTTAGGTTGGATATTAGGAAGAAATTTTTTACAGAGAAGGTAATCAGACATTTGAATGGGCTGCCCAGGGAGGTGGAGAATTCACCATCGTGGAGGTTTTTAAGATGAGACTGGATGTGGCACTGAGTGCCATGGTCTAGTAACCACAGCAGTGTTAGATGAAGGGTTAGACTTAATGATTTCAGAGGTCTTTTCCAACCTGGTTGATTCTGTAATTCTATGATTTGGACCTCTGTTTATAGGATCACAAGAGAGTAGGCTTTAGTCATAGTCATTCGCCATCCTGGCTGCAATTCGGGACTGAAATGTTTGAAGAAAGTTGTGTAACAAAAATGTTATTCCACTTGGGTTCTTATTCTGGCAAGAAAAATTAGTTTTGAAGGCTGTTTCTTAAAAGCAGGAGCTTTTAACTTGCTAGACAGTACAAGCTCCTGGGAGCAGACTGTTTCTGATAGACTCGAGAGAGGCTAAGCCTGAGTGCTGTTCATCAAGGCTAAGGCCTAATGAGCATTTCTCAGATCACAGTGCAGCCGGGGCAGGGGGTAGGGATGTGCCATCACAGGCCCTGAGCTGCTTCTGTTGCTCTGCCCAGTGACCTCTTTACAGATGTTACACTGCAAACCAAACAAGGCCAGGCTTCTCACAAAAATATGGCTGTGGCTGCCAGATGAAAATGGATTATTGGTGCTGTTGTTCTCAGTACAGTTTTGAAAACCACTGGACTTGATTTTTATTGTTTTTTACTTGTCTTAGAAGTGAGATGCTTGGTCCTCAAGGCCAAAAGGATCCAGACCCACATCTTTCACAGCGCAAGTTGAGGTATATCAGAAGAGCAGTGTCTCAGCTCTTGAGGAAGCTCTACTGTGAGTCAAATTGTGCCAGAGAACTACAGGGAAAATACATAAAAAGAGTGGAAGGCTGTTGGGCCATAAAGGGACTGTCAGGGAAAAGAGCGGGATGATAACCTAAAGACCTTGAACACTTGAAGGGGTTATAAGGTGCTGGGTTCCCTTCCCTGGTGCCAAAATGTGTTGTCAGTCTGAGTGAGTAAATAAGCAGTTCTCTCCAGACACTAGGCTGTCATGTGGAAGGTGGGAATGGCCACAGACAGCCCTGTTTTTAAAAAAGACTGAGTGCTGGGTCATAGGCAGCTGTAGCTGAGCTCCACCACCCAGAAATCTCCAGTGTGAATTGCAACACCTTCTGGAGCCCTGTATCCACTTATGAGAAGCTGAGATGGTACCACATCCTTTCAGATAATTCTTGGGGTGGAGATAGCATGCATGTTTTAGGGAGCAGTTTGTAGTACCTGATTTTTTCTGTGTATCACACAAAAGCATAGCTCACCTTGGGTTCCCTTCTGGGACCTTTGCATGCATAGGAAGAGTGGGCATTTCAGAAGTGGAAAAAAAAAAGGAGGATCGTACAAGCTTTAGAATAGAAAAGCAGTAACTAAGATGCTCTTGTTTCCTAAATGAGTATGTGAATAATGATTATTGTCATTTTTAACAGGAAAATTGTTTTTCCATGGCTTTAGTACATATACAGAGTTGATATTATGGGAACCTTTGCATTTGCCAGGCATGCCTATGCAGAAATTGTAATATCTTCCTACAGTGAAGAGTTGAAAAGGGGATGAGTAGTGGGCTGATGTCTGTACAGCCTAGAGAGGTTGTAGAGGTGCTTTTAATAGCCAAACTAAACAAGGCATCTGATCAGCAGCAAAAATGAACCAGTTTTAACCAGAATATGGTTTGCTTTTTCCCTAAAGGTGTTTCTCTGGATGCGCTTCCAGATGAATTACTTTTGGCCATCTTTGCATATTTGCCCCTAAAGGACTTGCTAAAAGTTTCAGTGATTTGCAAGAGATGGCATCGTCTTTCGTAAGTATTATTTCTCATCATTTAGTACAAAGTAAACCTTCATTTCCATGGACTCCTCTCAGTCTTTTTTTTTGACACTGAGAACTTTCTGTGTTTGTACTCATAGTTGTGGCATTTTGAACTCACTAATAAGTAAAATTCTATGCTTCAGGTTTGATGAATCTCTCTGGCAGACTCTTGATCTTACTGGTGGGAACCTGCTGCCAGGAGTGCTTGGACAATTGCTTCCTGCAGGTGTTACTGTATTCCGCTGCCCAAGAGCCTGTATTGGGAATCCATTGTTTAAAACAACTGAGTAAGGCTTTCTCTGCATGTTCTGGATCCTGAAACCATGTCTCAAATATTCACAGTTTTTCTGTGTAGCTTTGGTTTTTAGGTAGTAGCAACTAGTAGCAGCATTTGTGCTGTCTGTGGCGTGTGGAAGAGCTGATCAGTGGTTAGGCATGTGTTGGAATAGGAGGATCTGCATTCACCTGTCAGCTACTTAAAACCAAGCCAACGTGATTTTTTGAAAGTATCAAGTGTTATAATGCACTTGCAGTTTATATCACGTAGAACCAAACAAAGTTTGGTTTAACTGCAGCAGGATTGACTTTCAGGTGTTATGAGGAATCCTGAATGCCTGGAATATGAGTTCTGTGGTTTTGTCTGGTACCTTAGCAGTAGGCCCAGTGAGCTTAGTCGTATACTAGTGTGCAGCTGAACACAACAGTAGAACTAGTTTCTGCAAGTCTGCATGGTTTTAATGTGTGGGATATATTTGTGAAGCATGTTCTAATGGAGTTTTACTAACTTTTTCCTTTTTTTTCTTTTTTCTTTTTTTCTTTTTTTT